GCTATCAGCATGCTTTGTTGTTATCCTACATGTGGGCTTCCCATTGTGTTGCAGGCCGTACTGTATCACTTCTGGATGTCCCAATGGGTTTCCATGGCAGGCTACAGCCGGTGATTGAGTTTCTGATGAGTGGTGTGCGGCGTGTCATAATGAACAGGTGTTTGATGTGGACCTCATTGATACAGCAGTGGCGACAGCCTCAGCGACAGCATGACATTGGAGAGTTCATGACACATGTTATGCAGCAGGCTCGACCGGATTCCATGCAGGGCGCTTGGCATATGATTACGGCGGCTGGGGAGGTACGCGATGTTGGTGATTTCCATGGGCCGATGTTGGTGCACTTGGACAATACAAACAGTATGCATCCGACTACCTTGCAGGCGCTGATAGATCGCTGGTCAAATGCTGGGGAAGGCATGCGGCGACTTATTTTTGAGGCTCCGTCCCTGCTGTGCGTACAGATATTGAGATTTCATGGACATCGCCGGATTCGCAAACTCATGCATCAGGTTAAGCTGGGGAATGGCAGGGTCCACGTACCATCTCGGGAGCGACCAGGCGCAGCAAATCATACACACCATTGTTATCGTGTCGTTGCTATTTCAGTGCACTTGGGAAACACACCGTCAACAGGTCATTATCGTGCGGTACTGATGGCTCAGAGCTCATCTGAGGACGCACTAGGAACTGGCGAGCATGCGGAAGATATGACATCCATATACAACGGTGCCTTGTACACTGATGATGGTTGCGAAGCTGCTCCAGTTCTTGCGGGGGACGTGCATGCCATTTCGTGCAACATGTATCTTTTATGGTGCATCCGAATGGCGTGATACCGCATACAACTTTCTGCGAGCTTTTTACTGTGCAGTGGGAGCTATGGCAGTGCAATGCAAATTTCTTTCATGCCATTTCAACTTCTGAGTGAGTGCTGTCCTGACTGACGTGATGCATCATGTAGTGCTGCATGTGCTTACGGTGGCATGTCAGTTTTTGGATTAGCTACTTTTCACACCTCTGTAGTACGTTCCAGCCTGCTTGGCATTCGTGCCGAGGCTTGGAATCTGCTTGTGGTTCGCCACGGGATTTCTGCTAGAACCGCAACCTTGAGTTGCCGGTATGGCCACTGCGCTATACTGTAAATTATTTCGCTAGCTGTGCTCACTCACAGTGCGTCCGAAAGAAAGAAAAGTATCCTACCAGGACTCAAATTGGTCCTAAACCCTAAACCTTAAGCCGTTTTACCACACTAGGACTTGGAGATTCCCGAATTTGGCTTTCCCTATTGTATCATTTGGGAATGTCTGCGAGACCTTATTGTCACTTAACAAAGCCACTGGAAACTTTGCTCCTACACCTTCAAGTCTCAGACCCTGAAACACCAGCATGAAATTTGTTAAGTCTTGACAGCCCTCAACTTTTGGTTTTTTGTTCAAACCGTTGCGTCGCGGACTTCATGCTCGTGACGTGGTGGTCTGACACTGCCGCATTTCTGCAGTGCCGCCCTGATTACACATGTTCCCTTCTTTGTGATGCCTGCGTTTGTGATGCTATGTCCCATGAACTTCCCCGCACTGTGTCACTGCTGCGCCGCATGTTGCCGATACTTTGCATGCTGTCGCCCGTGGGTGTGCTCCTCTGCTTTGTGCTCCTCTGGTTTTTGAGCCTGTGTGTGCTGCTCCAGTGGAGCACAACTCTTCGCGGCTTGCACTTTTGATGCAGGTTTGCCGCCGATATTGTCGGAAACTGTGGCGCATGGGTGTACCCTTCTGATTTTGGTCTGTATTCCCCAATAGCTTGGCGCAAAGCAGGGCCCGGAAAGTTGGAATTCCCCAATAGGTTGACGCAGCATAAAACACTATTCGACACGAAACAAGAGCCTCCAAATCGCAATCCCTCAACAGCTTGCTTGAAAACAAAACAGAACCCTGACAAGTGTAGTTTCCAAATAGCTTGATGCAAATCCAGACCCTGCAAAATGTAATTGTTCAATACGTTGAAACAAGACAGGAGCCTCAAAATTCCAATTCCACACTAGCTTGATGCCAAACAGCAAAAAATGCTGCCATGTACAGTATTTGACAGAAGAAACAGGCCTCGAAATTACAAACCGCAAATAGCTTGCGGCAAAGCGCCACCTTGCAAATTGCAGCTCCCCAATAGCTTGCGGCGAAACGCCACCCTGCTAATTGCAATTCCCCAACCCAATAGCATGCAACAAAATGTTACCCTCCAAATGGCAATTCCCCAATGGCTGGCAACAAGACCAAATTGCAATTCCCCATTAGCTTGCGGCGGGACGCCACCACGCAAATTGCAATGCCCGAATAGCTTGCGGCAAAATGCCACCCTGTTAATTGCAATTCCGTAATGGTTTGATGCAAAGCAGTAGCAAATGCTGCAATGTACATACAGTATTTGCAATCAAAATCCAAGAGCCAACGTTAGCAAACGAGATCGATGACCGCCAGCATTAAGAAAAACGAATCTTCCGCCTAAGTTTTTTTGTGGACCTGTTTGACGAGCGGCGTACTGGGTACTCCGATGGCCCTTTCAGGTGCTTAGCTATGCGATCAGCAACTTGGATGCGTACCTTCCCTCTATGGCCTGCCTCCGCGGAGAAGCGTACGACTTCGTGGTCAGCACGGCTGCTCAACTCATGCCAGAGATCAAACTTAGAGGGAAGGGGCGGCTGAACATGCAGCAAAGGTTCGGATGCTCGACCAGTTCAACTTTGCGCAGTTGCTTCAGGTGTGCCGTAGCCTTTCAAAGCTTGCATCCTTCTGTTTTGTCGAACTTTCCAGGGCGAAAACAATCCACATTCGGTGTGGCAGCTTCAATGCAGCCTTCAAGAAGAGGGAGTCGAAGTGTTCCAGCATCTTGGCCGCAACACAGAGCGATATTTACAGACAGATATGGTCGCCTGGAGGATCTATTTGTTCATCCAAGTCAGCATCTTGTGTGGAGCCGCTTGGCCTTTTAGAGGGTACGTCTGAGAATCATGGCATCAACGGATCTGGTGTCCTCGGAATTCACCCATTGTCATGCCGGCAGGTTACCGGTGCCATCACTCTTCGTGGTTCCATGTTCCTCAGCGAGCTGAACGGGCGCTCCGTTCTCAAAGGCTTGGCTTGCTTGCAGCATGTTTCAGCTGCTTGGCTAAAACTAGCAGCAAAGCATGTCTGTTCGGGGACAGCTTTTGGCATTCTGAGTGGTGTGTGTGCGCAACCCGCGCCCCTTCAGCAGAATTTCGCCCGCAGTCGTACGTCTTGCCAGTCCCAACACGACACGAAGCACACCTCGTGTCCGTAGGGCCACGCATGGATATGCATTGTGAGTTTCTTTTCGGGCCTGAGACCTTCTTTGAACCTTCAACCGAGCAGATCCCAGCTGAGAAAGTTTTGTTCGGGGGCCCAGGAAGAGCAGCCGCAAGCCATCTACTGGCGGCCCCTTTGCCTGAAGCAGAAAGGGAGCAGCCTAGGAGCATCCGAGACGGGGGGCTCCTTCCGTTCCTTTCGTTGTGGAGGTACATCGCGAGCCGTGCGGAGGCGCTGCAGCTGGTTGTGCAAAACCCGAGCCATCTCGTGCTCGCCCGCCTCGCCTGTCTCACGCGCCCCTCGTCCTTCAACGGCGCTCTTTTGGGGTCCGGGAGGGTTTGGGTGTTTCGTTGAAAAGCGGGCGTCTCTCTCTCTCTCTCTCTCTCTCTCTCTCTCTCTCTCCCTAAAGGAACGGTGGAGCCGAAAGCCCTGCAGTCCCTGGCGGCGGACTGGGATGGCTTGACGGAGCTGGAGCAGGAGCGTAAAGCACATGGCGCGGCGCTGCCTCGCGGGGGGCTCCGTTCCCTTCTCGTCTCGATCAGGACGCGCTCTACCAGGTCTTCTTGACGGACGGCCTCTACCAGAAGGCGTGGCTCTCGAGGCAGAGGGGAAAAATCCCATTTGGGGACATGCGCAGGCCTTCATCTTCCTCTACCTGCCTTTGTTCCTGACCAATGCCGTGGCCAATCAAGACCTGGGCCTTCGACCCCTGGCTGCAACTGCCGCACGGCCGTAGCTTCTCTCACTCCGTGCAATCAATGCAATGTGTCCCCACCCAGGACGAGGATTGCAATTCCTTGTCGAGCTCTACACCAAGCTGGTGAATCATCGCTGCCTCAACCAAGAGGCCTTTACCGTCAAGGTGGACATATCTTCACTCGCATCCCTTGCGAAAGAGATAGATGATGTGCGGTTGTTGAGCGGCCTTGCTGCATGGCGCGGGGTTCCTTTGTGCAGCTGCTCTTCTCGTCCTTCTGGTTTCAAAGCGCTTTCGCTGAGGGAAATGCCTGGATTACGCGCGCATCGTGAAGCACGCCCACGGCGTGACCGTTCTCCTTACTGCTGAGAGCTACCAGATCCTCTCAGGCACGAGCAAAACGAATAGAAACAGGTCCGCTGAGCTCCGTGTTCCGTCTCCCCCGGAGGCCAGCTCGTAGCAGAAGACCGCAGCGCGGAACTTTTGGAGCGTCTCTCCGCCCAACAGCTTCCTAGCATCAAACATAAGAGGATCCTCTGCTACTGTTTTGGGTTCTGCGACGCTTTGAGGTGCTTTTTCAGTTCTGCTGAGGCGCATGCTGGCAGAGGCCCTCATGCCCGTTGCAAAGGAGCCTGCCCTGACCTTGCGAAAGAAGACCCTCGTCGCCGCGCCCTTGGCTTTCTTGGCTTTGGCTTCTTCAAAGGCTGTCTTTGTAAGTTCTGATCGCGATGTCAGGAAGAGGTGGTGACGGACTCGTTTTAGACGAATTACCTTGTCAAAGCCACCCGCTAAGAGCTTGAGCTGTTATCTCTGATGGAACCTCCCGAAGGGAGCGGCTCCGGTCAGAGTCTTCCAAGGGGACGGGAACGACTGGTCGGCATGTGCTGGCTGTCGAGGTTCCCCTTCCCTGTAGCTTCGGAGAACCCCGACTCCAGGTCAATCGGTCAGCCCTTGGAGAGAGAAAAAGCGAGAAGGGCAAATCCATGCGGGCAGGCGCCAGCCGCCAGCCTGCACTGCAGCCTGCGCTGCGGGCACACGGCACGCCTTTTCAGCCGTTCGTGGCTCTTGGAGAGAGAGATCAGAGCCGTTTCTCGGGCCTTGCCGTGCTCCGCCGTGGCCGCGAGGAGGCGACGAGTGCCGTCTGTGCTCTTTGCTCTCTGTCTCCGCGCCGCTCTGTGCCTCAGGTGTGCGGGGCCGGGCCGGGGGCCGGGGGCCGGGGGCCGGGCTCGCCATGGCGATGGCCTCGCGGCTCCGGAGGTTTGGTTTGGTCGAGTCTTCCCCCGCCTCGCGCTGCGCTTCCCCGCTCCTCGCCTCGCGCCTCGCTCCCCCCCCGCGGCCCTTGGAGGCTCTTTGGGAAGGGCGCTGCCCCCGTGGTGGTGGAGCAGGCGGAGAAGCTCATCCAGAGCAACCCGCCGCGTCTTTGGCACCCCCACCGTCACCTTTCTCTGCAGTGCATTGGTCTGCTGCCAGCGAGGTGCGTGGTCTTCTCGAAGAGCACCTGCCCTTTCTGCGACATGGCCAAGAGCGTCGGCGGCCAAGTTGGCCAAGTTGGAGGGCGTTAAAGCAGGATTGGGGCCGAAGGGCTGCGGTGTGCAGACTTTGGGTTGCAAGTTGCGCCTCGAAGGGTGCGTTGGTGTCTCGCGGTAGGGAGCCTCGCAGCTCCTTTGCCAGGTTCTGCTCAGCGACTTGAAGGCAAAGTGCCACGTGATGGAGTCAGGTTTCTCAGAGTTCTGGCTCATCAAGGAGTCAAAAAGGGGGATACTTTCCATGCCCAGGTTGGACAAGGAACTGAAGCCAGATGAGATGTCTGCACTGCAGGAGATCGGGAAACGGATTCACCACTTTCCGCTTGGGCGTTTGGTCGTGTGACGTCATCCGCGAACCTTTGGTTGGCGACATGGTTTCTCACCCGTCATGAGGTTGAGATGAACCTGCAAACAACCATATTAAGCCGATCTTTAACTGCAACTCTATAACCTCCAAACCTGTACTCGATCCTCCGGACTGCGAAAGCTTTCTATCGAGGATTGCACAAAAACCCGGTTACAAGCACGAGTAGAGACAGTACAGTGCTAGAGTGAGCCTAAAGCTCTTGGCCATCCTTGTTAGGCCCGGACCAAGAGCCTCAGAACCGAAACGGGTTCGACCACCCCTCACGTGGTATGTGGTGGCTGCGCCTCTGGCAACTTACTGCTGTTGCAGGAATACCACGAGCTGCACAATCAAGCAATGATGAGTGCGCACTGGGACAGCGTCTCAACATCTAGGTGATGCATCTGCGACAGCCGTCAACACCTGCTTTCCAAAAGCGCGCACACTGTGCAAGAAGCGCTGCCTGTTTCAAGTTCCCAGTCGCACATCGGACTGCTCCACGTCGGACCGTCGGACTGTGCTTCAGCGGCCGCGTGGCTAAAGGCTCTGGCACCTGCCACGCAAGCCAGCGCAAGCCCATTGCCTCAAGAACCGCTTGCCGGCTTCTGCTCTCTCCGACCGGAAGTTTAAGCAAAGTGGGCATCTGTCCAGGTTCGTTTTGAGATGTAAGGGGCTGTGCCGGCTTGCATGCCTTTTTCAGCGGCAGCCGAGACAGACATTGAACTGTTGCCTTCCGTGATAAACTCAGCGGCGATGCCATTGCGCTTGCCCACTCCAATATTCCCTTCCCATGGGGTCAGAAGACAGAAGTCTTTGTTGCAGGATATTTGGTTGTATGCATCAGCATGGAGCTGTTAACTGGAAGCATTGCCTGGAGACCCATCCGTGCTTTCAGGGCACAGGCGCCCGCGCATCGAAGCAAAAGCTCATTACTTCTTGCTGACCAAAGCCAGTCGTGCATCTCGTCGTCCATGGTGTCTTTTTGGACGTTGGTCTCCGAGAACTTGACCTACAAACGTTTCTCGACGTCTGTTGTCAGTTTGTCATTTTCCAGCACGAGAAACACCGAATTTGGCAATGCAACGCTCGAATTGAAGATGATGCGGGATCATGTCTTGTGATGCACAATCAGGGAAGAGGCAGTGAAAGTCCTCATTGCCGAAGTGGCACATGCACTCCACGATGGATGTGAAATCATTTTCACTTTACCCCGGCAGCGCTGATGATGTGGTGCCAGTGGGCCATGCATCGTTCTGTTTTCTTGATCGTTGCGAGGTTGTTGCGTGCAAATTGATATTTGCTATACAGTGGCTTAGCGGCCAAGAAGCTTTGGAAGCAGACTTTCTCCCAGTGCAAGATACGTAATACGTGCTGGCGGGTGCACCGAGAAGAGCAAGCATGGAACGTCGGATCAAGACCTTCTTGGTGACGAAATTTTGCTCAAGCACGGACAGGACCACTTCTTGCAGACGACCGGGGCGCGCTCCGTGAGAGTCCCAGCCAAGGATCCTTCGTTTCAAGCACCTTGGCCCCGGCCCAACGGGCGTGTTTTGGCGGCCGCTGCAGCGCTGGACTGCAAAAACTCTTATAGGAGGGCCTGGGGCCTCCCCTTTTCTGCGTTGTCTCAAGCTGCTTCAAGGTGCCGCGGGTCTTCATCAGCGCCGAGTGTGTAGGCCGGGCGGCTCCGAGGGATCCAAGCGACAACTTCCCTAAGAGCTTCAAGTTGAAGGCCTAGGCTGCGCTTCTGCACGGGCTCCTGCAGCGCCCGCGACAGGTGGCGGCTCGGAAGTGGCGGCCCTGCACGGCAAGCCTTGGCCTCGGCGTCTCTGCTGTGGCGGGCTCCTTCTGACAGTATGCCGGTTGTGCTCTCTCCCTCTCTGTGACGACGCTCTCTCTCTCGCTCTCTCTCTTCCTCTTTTCTGCGAGGGGGGAGCTGAAGCCCATGCTGGAGAAGGCTGGCTGTCCTCGCTCGCGTCGGTTGTGCAAAAGTGAGATGTGCTGACATTGCTTTGGACGTACCAGGCTGGAGCTATCGAATGAGATGCCGATCTGTACAGCGAGGTTCGGTGCAAGCCGATCTTACGACAAGAGCAAGGGTCGCAAGGTCGCAAGAGCCCTTCAGCTTGCGCGGAGCTGTTTTCCGAAGGGCACTGCGAGGAGCCCGCTGGCCCGAAAGCCTGGCGCAAGCCGTCCCAGCGAAGACGCAAACGGGGCGGTTCAAGCGATTGTGAGAGCGACTTTGAGAGCATGATATTCGGGCACGTGTCGGCGGACGCTGCTGTGGTGTCGTGCCTGGCAGCTGTTTGGCTCAGAACCTTCGCGGCCATGTGGGTGCTGCGTGCCGAGGCCACGCAAGGGGGGTCAGGATGTCAATGCTTTGTGCTTCTGCCGCTTCGAAATCGCACGTCGCAGGCTTGGCAGTCTGAAATGGAAGATGCCACGGGCCAACCGACGCAAGGAGCGGCTGAGCGGCTCTGCTGCGTGAGCTGAGCGTCGGCTCCTGCAGGCCAAGGAGGCCCAGCAGAGCGAGGAGAGGCCGAAGTGCGAAGAGACCGGAGCCTCCGCTGCGACTGCGAGCAGAGGCAGGGGCCGGCCGTGGGCAGCGGGGGCAGCGCGGTAGAAACGCTGTCGCACACGCCCAGGCCGTGAGCTCCCGGAGGTTCCCGCTGGCTGGAGCCGCTACTTCGACCCCCAGTCCGGAAGCTTCTATTTCCAGCGGAGGAAAGCTCCTGTCATCTCTGTGTTTGAGGCATGGGACCTATCTCTACCACGAGGCGAGGGTGACAAGTTTTTGGGGGACGGGGCCCCCGCCCGTTAAGCTCTGCGAGGCGACGGGGGACTGGCACCTGGAGGAAGCCGAGGAGACGGGCCACGGGTTTTTATGGAGAGCCCGTATGGCCCTGGCCCCGGCAGGTGTTGGTGGGGTCACGAAGTGAGGGAGGGGCAGTGGAGGAGGTCGCACAGTCCTGGCTTCGGACTGAGCTGCGGGGCTGCTGCTGCCTTGAGTGCCTCCCAAAAAAGAAGCTGCTTTGAGGCCAGAACTGGGACAGCTGGGAGCTTCGGAAGTCAAAGAACTTCACGGACGCCTGGGCCTGCCGGGGTCACCCGCATTAGCACTGCTTTTTCTCTGGGCAGGAGGGGCCAAAAAAGGGCCCACCGCCATTAAGGACCGTCTAGTGTCTCTAGCTCAGAAGCTCTCGAGTGCAGTTCTACAGCGTTGCAGGAATCGGCGAAACAAGCCGCAAGGTTCGGGAGATGTGGGGGTGGAGATGTGTGGAGGTGACCTGGCCTTGCAGGCCTCCAGCTCCGAAACGGCCTCCGGTGCCTCCAATTCCCTCGCAGGGGAGAGGATCTTCACAGCCTTCGGTGCCCAGCGGCGGCGAGCCGAGTGCCTCGGGAAACTTGCCGGCCAGAGAGGCGCCGCGTGCGTGCGCACCTCCCACCTCCCCAGTGGTTTCGCCCTAGCTGCCGCTCTCTGCTCACTTGCCGGCTGCCCATGTCCCATGGCTGCAGAAAAGCGGAGAAGCTGACGAGGAATGCAAGGGGAATATTCATTGAGCTGGAACTTGGGAGTACTGGTAACAATAAACTTTGCAAACAGCCCTGTTGACGGAAGCAGGAAGCAGCAGCACCTCACGAACATTGCAGCATGTTGCATATGTGCGACCACAACCCGGCCATCCGAGCTGATGGGCGCCGCCTGCTCCACAGAGTGGGGCGAGGAAAAGGCACTCGCAGAGGAGCAGCCGGGCATGCCGGGCTACCGGGGCACAGGGCCCAGAAGCGCTCGAAGCGGAGCGCTGCGCCCGCTGCTGAAGCGCTGTGCGATTCTCTGTGAGGTTCCAAGGCCTTGGCGGCACGGAAGGCTAAGGCCCACTTGACCGTGAGGCCGGCGGAGCCGGAGCCGGCAAAAAGGGTCGTCCGGCGATGCCGATGTGCGGAGCTGAGGCACTGGCACGACAAGATGATGATGTCGGCTGCATCCCAGGCGACCCAGAGAAAAGGCTTTTTCTGACCTTAGTCGGCTCGTGACTTTGCTTCAGGCGGTCTTTGAGGGGGCCCAGCGCGGGGATGCCAAGAAGGTCACGGAGGCGCCCGCTGCGCGGCGACGAGCGGCTAGCGCTGCTGTCCGTGCTGTCCGCTGTCCTTGAGGCACTGAACGCGCACGGCGATCCCAACTGCATCAACTTCGGTGGGTTCAATGCTCCTCGGACTGAAGGCTATGAAGGCTTCAGAGGCTTCGAGATTGGAAACTGCCAGAGCGCTGAGGCCCTGATGCTCGCAGTGGGCGGTGGCTACACGGAGGCTCGCAGACGCCCACACACACACACACCTGCATGGACCTCGTGATCCAGATGGCAGTCGGACTCTGTGACTCTTTGCCTTCTTTCTCATTGTCTTACTATCAGCTCTACGTGACGGGACTCCAGGCTCATCCCTACACCTCAAGGCCGATACAATCACTCACATGCTACACATCTTTTTCAAGCAGATGCAGGTACGTTTTCACGAGAGGACAGGTAGATGAGTGCGCGGTCTTCGTTGGCCAGCGCACGCACTAATCTTATCTGCCTCTCCGCTGGCCCCCCCGCTGTAACCATAGTACATGCAGTAGAAAGGGATGACACACACACACACACACACACCCTTTCCAAGGAAAGGGGGAAGTCCTGCAGTCACTCAAGCACATGACAGTGCACCGTAGCACTGTAAAATGCTTTATGCACAGCTTTGCAGACATCTTCACTCCCAAGGCAAGCACGCGACGAACCAACACTGTAGACCAAGGTGCAAAGTTGAGCTTCCATGCTGACCAAGGTGCAAGCTAAGCTCCAAACTGCACGTTCAACCAAAAAAGCACTGCATACTAACATTACTGAATTTGAAAGTCACAATTTCTGCAGAATTTCTGGTCAGACCATCTTCTGTGAAGTCACTGATGGATGTTTTAAGGCCTATTCTTCACAGGTCTTTTCAGAATTGTGTAGCCATCTTTCATGACCTGTATTTCATCCAAGGAAAATCAGACAGAGAAGAAGCCTAGTTACCAGGGACTGTGGGTCACTGTTGCACTCATCGAACGAGACAACAAAAACAAACCACAACAGAACGAAGGGAACGCGTCAGCGGAACAGAACAAGCACGAGTCTTTCATGAAAGTTTATCGTCGCTCAATTTCAAGAAAGTCACGCTCCGAGAAAGTCTTGAAAAGTCAGGATCGTGGAGGCTACCCTCCACTCCGCTCGCGCCCAAAGGCGATACTGAATCACACTAGCATGGACCTCGTGATCGAGATGGCAGTCGGACTCTGTGACTCTTTGCCTTCTTTCTCATTGTCTTACTATCAGCTCTACGTGACGGGACTCCAGGCTCATCCCTACACCTCAAGGCCGATACAATCACTCACATGCTACACATCTTTTTCAAGCAGATGCAGGTGCGTTTTCACGAGAGGACAGGTAGATGAGTGCGCGGTCTTCGTTGGCCAGCGCACGCACTAATCTTATCTGCCTCTCCGCTGGCCCCCCCGCTGTAACCATAGTACATGCAGTAGAAAGGGATGACACACACACGCACACACACCCTTTCCAAGGAAAGGGGGAAGTCCTGCAGTCACTCAAGCACATGACAGTGCACCGTAGCACTGTAAAATGCTTTATGCACAGCTTTGCAGACATCTTCACTCCCAAGGCAAGCACGCGACGAACCAACACTGTAGACCAACGTGCAAAGTTGAGCTTCCATGCTGACCAAGGTGCAAGCTAAGCTCCAAACTGCACGTTCAACCAAAAAAGCACTGCATACTAACATTACTGAATTTGAAAGTCACAATTTCTGCAGAATTTCTGGTCAGACCATCTTCTGTGAAGTCACTGATGGATGTTTTAAGGCCTATTCTTCACGGGTCTTTTCAGAATTGTGTAGCCATCTTTCATGACCTGTATTTCATCCAAGTAAAATCAGACAGAGAAGAAGCCTAGTTACCAGGGACTGTGGGTCACTGTTGCACTCATCGAACGAGACAACAAGAACAAACCACAACAGAACGAAGGGAACGCGTCAGCGGAACAGAACAAGCACGAATCTTTCATGAAAGTTTATCGTCGCTCAATTTCAAGAAAGTCACGCTCCGAGAAAGTCTTGAAAAGTCAGGATCGTGGAGGCTACCCTCCACTCCGCTCGCGCCCAAAGGCGATACTGAATCACACTTGCATGGACCTCGTGATCGAGATGGCAGTCGGACTCTGTGACTCTTTGCCTTCTTTCTCATTGTCTTACTATCAGCTCTAGGTGACGGGACTCCAGGCTCATCCCTACACCTCAAGGCCGATACAATCACTCACATGCTACACATCTTTTTCAAGCAGATGCAGGTACGTTTTCACGAGAGGACAGGTAGATGAGTGCGCGGTCTTCGTTGGCCAGCGCACGCACTAATCTTATCTGCCTCTCCGCTGGCCCCCCCGCTGTAACCATAGTACATGCAGTAGAAAGGGATGACACACACACACACACACACACCCTTTCCAAGGAAAGGGGGAAGTCCTGCAGTCACTCAAGCACATGACAGTGCACCGTAGCACTGTAAAATGCTTTATGCACAGCTTTGC